GGAGCCTGACCCGCTACTCACCCAGGCTCCCTCTCCACTGCACAGAGCAGACAGCAGCAGCGGCAGAGCTTTGCTCTTCTAGCAGTCGTTTTCCCCGGGACAGCAGAGCGCAGGGTCACCGCTCTGCAGCCAGGGCCTGCTTTCTGCTCCATGTCACAGCCAGGCCCTCTGAGGCCTGAGGAAGCTACCCGAGACTCTGATTAGGGGACCACAAGGTCTATGCCACATGGGGACACTGGCGCCGCCACGGGTTGGGATCAGCAATGCGCTGGCTTGGAGGGCAGGGGGAGATTCTGGCTAAGGTGAATTCCCCTCCTGAGCGGCACTGCCCGCGCGCCACCACGTCCCCAATGAAGCCGCCGTGCTCTGAGGGGGAGGAGGGTTTCACTGAAAAGCCGGGTCAGGCTCGCACCCCGGTCAGAGTTCCAGGTCTGGACGGGAGCCTGACGCAGGCCAGTTCCCATGGCTTTAGGTGGTTTACCCAATTCTACCCACTGACGAGGCCACTGACGCTCTACATGAAGTCAGCCCGGGATTCCTGCCCTGGTGGGTTGTTTGAAGGCAGCTCACCCGTAACCTCCTGTCTCATCGCTGCCCCTTGGTACCGGGGAACCTGGAGACACTCCACGCCAGGCCAGGGTATTACATTACCCCACTAATGGCCCCGCCAGGCTCTCTGGACTTATCACTGTGCAACCCTTCTCCAGAGCCCAGGGACTTCTAGCAGGGGTGGCAGAGACGGGGCCCTTGCCCCAGAGGAGGCGAGAAGCGGTTAGAATGGAGCTGGAAAGAGGATAAGCTGCTTTCACATCAACACAGGCAGGTGCACAACGAGCTCTAGAAAAAGTCTCTCACTGGCGCTAGGCAGCAAAGCACCTTACCAAGGAGGGAAAAAGCCCGCCCAGTCCTTCCGGCACTTCCACCAGCTCCCTTCTGACCCACCCCCCTGCACTGGAGACTGTGACTGAGACACTTCTCCTTCCCAGCGCGCCAGCCCAGCTAAATGCCACAGTCGCGTACGGACACGTACCCCCCGTATAACCCTGCTCAAAGCTTTGTGCCATGATCAACAGCTGGACCCCAGGACACCCTTATGCCTTGTAAAAAGAGGTTTACCAGATCAGCCGACAAAGGCTTTCTTTGTCGCCCGATCCCCTTCTCGACAGCCGCTTTTTGCTGACAAACTGCTGACTCGGCAAAACGCAGCGGCCATTTTTATTTAAATGAAGCACGGGAGATTTAAATCCCCGCTTCATTTGCTATGTCGGTATGTCTAACTTACATCCCTCTGGCAACAGAGGGATGTAGTCTAGACATACCCAAGCAAAAGTGTTTTACGCCCTAGCGCTGACGGCCTGTGCCCTCTGAAACAAAGGCACGCTGCTACAGCAAGGTCTCTACATTACATCGGCAGCTGCCCTGCGATCGTGCACTGCCTAAGGGTCTGTGGATCTGCTGCAGTGTCAATACAAGTCTCTCTCCATTAGCATGGGCTTCATATCGTGACTGGCGGCGCTAGCGCGATCAGGGAGGCCAACCGCCTTTGGTTTGTCTATCTGGAGCACGAGCTCTTTGGGGAAGGGACTTTCCCTGACTCTGCAATGGTGGGGGCACAATGGAGCCCTGATCTCAGCTGGGGCCTCGAGGTGCCGAGCGCTACTGTCATACCGTCACTCGTGGTAGTTTGTGTGATTTCGGTTCAATTTTCTTTGCATTCTGTACTATTGTTTGAAACCTTCTGGACTGGACTGTCCCATGTGAACCCGTGAGAGAGGAAAACCAGAGTTAAAACTCCTACCAGGCCCTTACCCCGCGAGCATGGCAAGTGTTGAACAAAGCAGTTGAGAGCCAGCAGGCAGCACCACCGTGCACAGAGTTAAGGACAAAGCGACAGCCTTAAAACTCTGAATCCAAGATGACGGTGCCACCCACAGGCCACGTGGGAGGTTACAGCCCTCAGCAGTGCTGTGCCCATCTTGGTTGTCAGCTCCACCTCAACTCTGAGCCATTATGCAAGGATCCAACAAGCCAGAGTGTTTTCACGTCATTCGTTGGTTTATGTTATGGCAAAAATTGTTCTTGGGTGATTTTACAGTCGCAGGCTTCAAAAAGCGAAAGAGGACCCGGCTCAACAAGGTAACGGAGCTGTGTTAGGACAGGCTGTTCGGCTAGGCAGCAAATAGGTGAAACCAGGCCCAGTTGGCTCTCACTAACCAGCTATGCGTGAAAGTCTCAAAATAAAGTGAACAGCAGCAAGTGCTTGGAAGCACGTGGGGAAGCATTTCTGAAAGTGCCTGAGGGAATAAGGCCGGGTCAAGCAGACTCAGTACTCAGAATGAAGAATCTCAAGAGTTACCTTCAGGATCATTTCAGCCCGCGTCATGCCTTTCACCACTATCTTCGTGTAGCTGGCAGGAGCCTTCCTCACCACCTGGGACCCAATGGACGGCAGATCCAAGAGAACCATCTTCAGAGAGTGAGTGTCCAACAGCAGCTGTAAGAGTCAATCACACCCTGCTACTACCCTGGTCCCAGCTACCACGCGCCATGAGCAGCTAGAGCCCAAACAGTTGAAAAGTTTAACTCTTTCCAGTTCTCAGAATGTCTTGGCATTGACAGCACAACTGGCACAGAAAGAACGATTCCCTGGGATGGACCAGACCTCTTAGTTGGGTAGCTCAGCAGATCTCCACGGACCTTAATGAAGCTACGATGATTTACGCCAGCTGAGGATCTGGTCCTTAATGTGTGGATTTTCCAATCACATTTTCATGGGAGCGTACAGTGAAGCAGTGTCCCCCGTTTGTACGCTGTTAACTGGCTACTCAGACCAACTCAATAATACCGTGATCCCTTTGCCTCTCAGCCTGCAATGCTGTCAGCTGTTCTGCATTCACTCAACCCGCAATACAGGTTGCACCTCTAAAATCTGGGATTCTATGGTCCGGCAACATCTGTTGTCCAGCAGGACTAGGATCAGAGTCCTGGTGCACTGCAGGGCTGTGGGGGTCTAGAAGCTAGCACACAGCTCAGATGGGCAGCGGGGGACGAGGGGGGAGCTGGTGTCCTGTTCAGCTGGGCTCCAAGGGGGGGCCAGGGAGCCAGTATGCAGCTCAGCTGGACTGGGGAGCGGCCATGAGCTAGCACTTGGCTCAGCTGGGCCGGGGGGGAGCCAGGAAGCCAGCAGGAGGGGGCCCTGAAATGATCTCCCCTGGTCTGGAAAAATCCCTTCTCCAGGACCAGTTAGGTCCCGTGGGTGCTGGACCAGGGAAGTCCAAACTGTACAACTCCAGGATAGCGCGTACACTGACAGCTGCCCACCTAACTCACTGCACTGACCGACTCCCTCCAGCTCTCAGCACAGAGGAGAGGAATTTTCACTCAGCTGGCATCTCACACCTCTTCAGGCAGCATACTGGGAAAGGTGCTGTCAGCCAGAGCGGAATGACCCTAAATCCTCCAGGACTGCACCAGGTATGAATGAAAAAGCAGGGTGGAGACCAGCTGCGGAGCAGAGGCCTGAATCACCTGAGCTGTATTTTCACTTCAACAGAAGTGGTGCACGATTTGATTTGTTACCATGGGAGAGGACACACTCCAGGTATCCGGCTACAAAGCAAATTCCTGCGAAGGGGCTCGAATCAGGCGGAAGTGCGCTCCCACCACACGACCTGCACGGCAACACACCCCTACAATAAACAGGGCCACGTGTGTTAGGGCACGAAGCCCACAGACTTTAGTGACCCTACCAGGGCTATCGGGCGTTCGTGGCAGGTTCACCAGCTCAAATGTGGACCAATCAAAAAAGTGACACTATGATTATTATCCCGCAGCTGTCTTGAGGCATGGGAGGGAGGAACTGGTCTGTGTACAGTGCAGTGGGGGTTGGGTTCCATGCAACAAAAATCCACATTCACAAACGTCGTACTGGTCCCTGGATTTGAGTGAGACTGTTACGTAGCAGGGATGCTGCCTTTCAGAAATCAGCAGTGGCAGTAAAAAGCAACACCACTGTGGTAACGTTTGTGCCAAGGCCCAGATTTACAAAGGTCTTTGGACAACGAAAGATGCAGATAGGGGCCTCGTGGGGTTTTCAAAAGGTGCCTAGAGAAGATTAGGCACCTGATTGCCACCGAAAATCAATAGGAGGCACTTTCACCCTCGTCATTAAGTGCCTATCCGCATCTCTAAGTGTCTCAATATCTTTGCCAATCCAGTCCCAACAGAACAAGCACAACTCAGAACTACATGGAGTCAGGGTAGATCCAAAGCTAACAGATCTGTGCTCTTCAGTCAGCATTAGACAACACAGTGAGCAGAGAGCTGAAATGGGTCAGTTATTCCACGATCCAAACTAGGGATATGTGGGTGTAAAAGTGTACACCAGGAGCGGGGAACTTTTTGGGGGGTTAGGCGCCACTGATCCACAGAAAAATCAGTCTGAGGCCACAGACAGTAACATCCCTAATCCAAACAAGACACACCGAGGCATGGCCGGCAACGGGTTAATCGCTTGAGCCACATGGTTATTCAGGAAAGTTCCAGGAACAACCGTGAGTCGCTATTAACATTTATTATAGAAGGCAAGTAGGAGTTGCACTTCAGCCATTTGCTTTTGATTAGGGAAAGCCGCAGGAGCTCAGACTTTGCACAAACTCAGCAACATCCTTCATTTATTTATTTATTTCACAAGATCCTGTTTCATTTCACAAAAGCGTGTTGCTCAGCGCCCCATCTGCTGATTCCCTGCCAGTTGGTGGCTTTGAAGACACCAGAAGTTCACTGTTCTCCCATTTGAAAGCTTACCCCACCCAAGCCTTGTCTGCAAACAAAGAGCAGGGCTGTCCCAGCCAACCGACAGGTGTATGAAGACAATAGCCGGGGTGACAGACCCAACAGCTGCACCCCAAACACACAGGTAAGGCAAACTCTCCTGATCTGCCCGGTCAGTTGCGCTTCCGGATCCAGGGGAACGTGTCAAAAGTTCCCTGTTTCTGTAAATGTCAGAGACATTGAGAAAACTTCCTTCCTTCAAGTTGCTATTTGCAGCCTGTTTCTTTTGGGGCTCTCTAGGGACGGTCCGGAGAAGAAAGAAGATAAAGAACCGGGAGTCAGGAGCTGAGCGCTAGCCCTGACCCTGCCATTGGCCCTACTGTGTGACCGGCTTAGACAAATCACTTCTGTGCTTCAATCTCCCCCTCTCTGAACTGCAAGATCCTTATGCACTTGACAATGCTGCAGTGCGTCTGAAAGGGCTTGTAAAGCACCTGGAGATCTCGACTTTTGTAAGTGCCCCAGTATCATTCACCCAGCAACACCCCAAAGGGTTCGCTCCGCTCAGCAGCCATTCTGTGCCATGCCAGGGTGTGTGAGAGAGGGGAACAGACATCTATCTGCAAACACAAACAGGTCTGAAAGAGGCAGAATATAACTGGCCACTCTGGAAGCATCCAGGACACATGGCGTAATATCAACTCATGATAAAACGGCCATGAGCTCTCCAATGGTCTCCCGTACACGAGACCTGACTTATATTTCTCCCAAAATACAGCACCTGGGATGACTTTGGAGATTCCCCATCAGAATCCTGAGCAGGGCGCCACTTACTTAAGCTTGGGATGGATACACACTCAGACCAGGGGATGTGCAACCTGAGCATCTTCATCATAAAACCTGTACAGAAGTGGGTTGGGGATTCATGCAAACAAATGTGGTTCAGGCTACACCCTGGCACAAATTCTTTTTAAGTTTGGCTGCTTTTAATTACCCAAGAGTAAAAAAAGAGACAGGCAGACACGTACTGGTGTTAGAAGCATGTGAATTAAGAGACTGACAGACAGACATGTACTCGAGTTAGAAGAATGTGGATTAAAAATTGAAGTTGAGCTTTTTAAAACCCACCAATGAGTCTGAATGCCTTAGATGCTGGGTCTCTAAACGGAGACATTTTAACTGGGCTTAATTTTCAAAGTGTGGGAGTCCAGCATCTTCTGAAAACCAAGGCCACTGGAAGGATCCTCAAGCTGTGCACCCAAAATAGAGGCGTCTAAAGTCACATCTTAACAAATATGATTTCTCTCTTCAAATGCCTTTCTGCACCCAAAACCCTGGATCTATCTCCCTTGCCCGCCTGACTCTTCCTCCATCTCACTCCCCAGCACACTGCTCTTAGGCCCCCACATCGAAAAGGACTCCTCGATCCTCTCTGTCCTGAAACCCTTCCCAACCAGGCCTTCTCACTGACTCGGGGCTGCATCAATCCACCAGGCCAACGTCAGGCTTCCATCTGGCTATTCGTTTGCTTCATAAAAAGCCAAGACCCATCAGACGAACCCAACCAGCTTGTGAGCTCTGCTGGACTTTCCGGGGCAGACTTGGGTATTCAGAATGGACACATGCTGACAAAACTGGGGAGAATGCCGCAAGTACTTCTAGAAAACCACAAATGGCACCATTGGGAGTTGCACCTCTTAGCCCGAAGCCTGATAAAAGTTCTGTTTTAACGACATCCACAGTACACTCCATAGCCAGCCACGGTGGAGCACAGCAACAACTCCCATTTTGTTCCCCAAACCGCTCTAAAAGGGAACACAAACAAGTATCTTCACAGTCTACATTCTAATAGCCGGTGTGCAGAACACACCAGCTAGGAAACAAAGCCGAGGAAAGGCAGAAACGTCTCTCTTCTTTCTCACTTCCATTACTTTTCTTACTACCATCATTACAGCATGTTCCATCCGCAACTGATCTAAGCACCTAGGCACAACAGGGCTCACTCTGGCTGCAACTTCGGAGCCCAAGATTTCTGCTGGATTGGTAAGAGCCTGGACATAGTTTAGAAGATGTTGCCTGGCTGTTTCTTCGTGAAACATTCCCCTTTACATTACCAGGCCTCAACTCCCACAGACACCTGCACTGAGGTCAGGGGCTGTGCACCTAAGAGGCTGCTCTGGTCAAAAGCGCTGGAAGCAACTCCCCAGTGAGCACTCACAGGTGGTGGGGAGACCACTATAACATTAGCCAGTCTCTCTGGACTTGTCCAGAATACTATCCACACACCTGCACTTCTCTAGTTAAGATTAACGGAAAGTTCTTGTTCTCAAAAAAACAGGCTCTACCCACTGTAAGAAAACTTTACAAACTCGTGCCCTGGTTTCCCTGTTACAAATCCAGCCACGTTGTTATCAGAATTTGATTTCACTCTCAAAAGCAGGCAAACTTAAAAACCCGATGCATTCTGCCCTTAGTAATAAAAGAAACCAAGACAGCAGCTCTCCAGCAGACGTTCACGCCATCACAAGTCTTCCGGCAATCAAAGCAACAACCAACTCAAAATGCAACATTCCTAGCCAATCATCTTCATGGTTTCATTTCCCTCAACACATCTGGGGAGTAGAAGCCATATTAAACTACAGGTCGTACCTCCCTTAACTGGGACACTCTGATCCAGCAACATCCGTGTTCCGGCAGGACCAGGGATGTTCCTGGACCACAGAGCTCAGGTACAGGAAGGTCGGGCCGTGGGGCAGAAGCACAGCACGGGGGCTAGTAACTCACCTGGGAGCCCATGGGGAGGAGAGGGGGATGCAGAGGGGTGGCGGCATAGTGGCGAGTTCTGCTCCCTGAGGCTGAAAGGTAGCAGGGGTTGGCCCAGAAGCTCCGGCCCCAGGAGCCACGGCCAGGCAGGAGCCCTAGCAGGGGGCAGGAGCTGGGAGCTGGCAAATCCCCTCGATCGGGGTCCCCAGGTGCCAGCTGAGGGAGGTCCAACCTGCAATAAGGACGTCATGATACTGGCTGTGTACTGAGCACATGGAAGCAGAGCCAATCATTCAGAATGTAGCTGCTGCCTTTGGGGTGGAGGCAATTTCAGGACCTGACCAGAATTCTCCCCGTTAAGGAGACAATTTTTGCAGCTGAGCTTCCGTTTCCAGGTGGACGGAGCAACATGCACTGGCGCCTCGCTAGACTACGTATTAGGCAAAAGGCTTTGCCTTCCTGCGGCGGCTGCTCTGCCACTGCTTCTCCAGTTTTAAATGGCTGAATTTGGAAAAGCCACAGCAGCCAACTCAGTGAAATTAGCACCTGCCACACGGTACATGCTGCATCAAGTCCAGCTTCCAGACCAGACACTGAATAATGACGACATTTGTCACCTCACCGGGCGTACTGCACCATTCAAGCGCTGTGTTGGACCTCGTATGGGGGGGGATGGAAGGGGAGAGGCACACCTGGGCTGCCTCTGCACCAACCCTTTTGATGAGGGTGGCTAATCAGCAGAGAAACTCCAGGCTTCAATTTCCATCGTCCTCTGGTTGTGTTCCCAGGACTGCAGGTGGACAGAACTACAGCTGGTGGTGGGCTGGGTGGGTTACCCGGGGAGGGTCCTGGATACACAAACCATGTTTATTTTTTCATGAAGATTGCTATACTTCCTACTGTAGCATGAGCCATAAATAACCACTCACCTACAGCGCGTGCTTTAGGAACATTGGACATCATCACAGCACTGAGAGGCTGGGATTGTAAGTCCCAGTCGCCCCACTTCACACAAGGATAATCTCAGATGCTGAGAAATTAAGGGACTTGTCCCAAGTCATTCAATGAGGCAGCAGGGGAGTTGGAAACAGAATCCGGGAACCTAAACTCTTCCCTGCTCAAAGCCTAGCCCACGCTGCCTAGACCACTCCCCAAAATGTGTCATATCACTCAACATAAAGCCCTAAAATCATCACTGGACACTTATGTGTATTGAAATTCAGACAACGCATAACCTCTACCAGCCAATTTCTGTAGCAACACACGCCCTAGGTCTGTGCAATTCAATGCACAGACGCCATAAAGCAGAGAGGATGCTGCTGAATGTGATTCATTTTTCTCACCTGCTCTGCGCCCACCATGCTAATCGGTTTGCACTTGAAGAGATGGTTGATGAACTTGGGGATGAAGGAGCTGCAGAGAAGAAAAGTATCAAAAAATCACATATTTGAACTTCAATACCCAGACTATCCTAAGTTAACACTGTGCACAATAAACCAGGGTTGTCCATGGTGACACTCCAAGGGCACATAGCATTGTTAAATATCCAAATAGGAAAGTGTAGTTCTTCTTCTTTAACCACGCTGAGCTAAAAGTTAATTTGGAGGCCAACTACATATTATGTGTCAGTATGTTTGTAAAAATGGAGCCAAATAGAATAGTGCCAGTCCAGGTATCAGTTAAGTAAGCGAACATGCTATATAATAAACATCAAAACAGCAGGGTAATAACTGTTCATGGACTGGAAGCATCTTTATTTACAATAAAAACTTATTCTGTACAGGAAACAGAAATACTTGTTTTGTATTATGGAAGTACTGCGAGATTCCCATTGAAACCCACTGCGTGAAGAACAGTACATATACATAGCGAGAGAAAGCCCCCGTCCCAAAGTTCTTACAGCCCATGCAGAGAAGACAAATGGTGGAAGAAAGGGAATTTTATTAACCCCATTTTACAGCCAGGGAAACTTATTCTGTACAGGAAACAGAAATACTTGTTTTGTATTATGGAAGTACTGCGAGATTCCCATTGAAACCCACTGCGTGAAGAACAGTACATATACATAGCGAGAGAAAGCCCCCGTCCCAAAGTTCTTACAGCCCATGCAGAGAAGACAAATGGTGGAAGAAAGGGAATTTTATTAACCCCATTTTACAGCCAGGGAAAG